TCCTTTCGGTTGCTGGCGTATCAAATCGTCACGCACATCCGGCACTGCCGTGGGGGCTTGGTCTCCGTGTAGGGCTAGGCTGTGCGTCCAATCAGCGTGTCCCCTCTCCAAACATCAAGCTCAGGCCGAGAGACCAGGCACGACAGTCGTGTCCCGAACTTCACTGGCCTTAGCTCAACCTTCGTCTGCTGACTGAGTGAGCCTGGGCAAGTATTAAAACATGGACACCCTGCTGGAACAGGCCCGGTCCGTCTGGGAGGGCCAGATCGTGCGTGTAATACACGACGTCCAACATGGCAGTTGCTGACTATAACGCTCAGGACTTCGAAGGCCAGCGCCTGGCTGATCTCCTGTCAACGCTGCTGCTCTCAACTGCTGGTGTAGGTCCACGCACAAACAACCCTCTGATGCTCCTGCTAACGCTCTCTGCAGTTCCTCGCTTTCATCATCGGCTACGTTACGCAAAACATTCACAACACGCTCTGGATTGGTCTGGGAGGTACCGCATTCACTTTCTTGGTCGTTGTTCCGCCCTGGCCATTCTTCAACAGGAACCCTGTACGATGGCTACCGGCGAAGAGCGGAGGAGGAACATATGATGTTGTCGTAGACGGAAGGAAAGTGCGATAATTCTATGCGTGGCGTCTACACCGACGACCCTACAATGCAACGAAGCTACATCAACAACTAGCGGCGGTCATCAGTACGCTCTGTGTCATTGTTGTGTCCATGATGTTTGAATGCCCGGACTGGGCTTGTTTGTCATTATTTCATGCTTCCGGACTAGCAACCTCATGAATGCTCCGCCCATAGCTCCTTGATTGGTTTGGCAATCCACAACCCGTATCAGGTCGCCCTACGCCAGCCCTTTGTCCACAGCATCTTTCGTGGGATATCTCCAGCGCTCGGCGCATGCTGTGCAACTGCAGTCGCGACTTTTCCCTCAGGTTCATAGTGTATTGTCCTTTACCGGCCGTACTTCTGGAACTCCCAATCCCTGTTATCCAGCGGACACACCTGACGCGTCTTAAGCCATCGCGAGATACAGTGGAAGTGGAAGGCGTGGTTGCAGATACCCCAGGCCACAGTACATTCCTCACTGGTAGCGGAAGCTTGGTTGGCCTGACAGTCGATGCCTGGGGGCCGGTCAGCCAGCGCAAAATGGTGCTGGAAACAGAGTACATACAGTGATCCATGATATGGTTACGGCAGATAGCGCAGTTGTCAACGACGATGTCCCATGCCCAGAGTGCGACAGCGTTCCACTACACAAATGTTAGATCCTAATCAACACCATTCTCACCACGTATTCTCGCACCTTTTTGACTTCGAATCTCTTCTTTCCCTCAGTGTCTCCGCCAGAAGCTTTGGTGGTCTTCTTTAGAGGAGCGTCGGTCATCTCCACATCGGCCATGGCTGATGGTGGTAGGACGTGATCGGTTGGTGGGGTTTTGGGTATGCCGGTCGTTCGTGCTTTGTGGTTGAAGACAGCGTGTTACCACAGCGAACGCCTGCAGCTTCCAGGAAGGTTTGTGTAGCTAGAACAACGTATTGCTGGCGAAAGTGAGGGAGAGCTCAGAGCGATGAGGCAACACTGTCACCTGCGTTTGCTCGGTCTAGTGATGCTGTTTGCATTCGGCGTCGTCGGCAAGGCTGGCAAGCGCGCGCTAATGACTCAGGTGGCGGAACACACAGGCGTCATTCCGCTGCCCAAAGCCACGAGCGAGCGAGATGCGTCTTGTCCCTCTTCCACAACCCGACACGAACACGACAGGACGGCGACACTCTTCGTTTTCTGACGGGATCTCCACAAGCGCATACCTGCGTCTTGCACATTCCACGAAGCGCAGTACCTCTCGATCTACCTCTCTGTTCAATGCGACAAGGAGCCTCTGTTGTTCCTGCACTCTCCTTTGCGACAGTTCCATTGGCTTTACTTTCACGGGCGCTTCGACAACGTACAACCGCGACCACCAACACATCCCCTCAACCCCACACAACACGCTGCCATGTCAAGCGCTGCGATCGCTGCACCACACCATCACTCCAGCGCACACAGAAACATGGACTACCAGAAGAACACCCCGGCGCAAAGCCGTAAACACCAAGGCCGAGGCCAAAAACACAAGGCTCAACAGCACAACATGGACGCCTATTCCGACTCAAACCTGCCAGCAACAACAACTCCCAGGTCGAAGAAGCACCCCCGCCAGAGACAACCAAGCGGCAATCCGGTATCAGAAGCTGCGCAACCCCGAACAAGACCCGTCTCCGTGAACAACTCAGCCGCTACCATGACTCCCGCCAAACCTGCATACGCCGGTCCAACATTCCACGCTTCGCCCGCTCCATCAGCACTGCCTGTCCCAAAGTTTTTCTCCAAATCGGTTCCTGCCGCTGGCGCCGAGTCTGGACTACAAGCGCGCATGGAGAGGGCAGCAGACAGAACAACGGAACAGTCGGACTCATCGCCAGAAACAGATAACCCCACCCTGGCCCGAGAGCAACAAAAGTCACCACTCGATATTTTCTTTAAGGCGGACCGTGACGAGAAAGCAAAGAGGCAGAGTTCCAGCGGCTTTGCGAGCTTGCAGGCACAATTAAGCCCATCACACAGTCGGCCCTCTTCGCAGCTGGAGGATTCCCCTCCGTTTCCCGACCACGCTTGACCCCGTCAAATTCCAGTCGAGATATCTTCGCTATGGACATGGACGGCGCAGATAGCCCAAGCAGACGTACACCACAACCAGCACGGCCGGGAATGGTTTCCAACAGATCGCACACGGCCCCGAACAACGTCCCTACGGCCAATCAAGACGAGGCGGAGATGGAGGCCTACACCCAATCATTGAAGCAATTGCTGAACGTCCAAAGCCGGGATTCTGGATTGTCCACGCCAGACAGACTACAACATACCTCCAGTTATGGCAACCATGGCTCGCCTTTCCAAGCGACACCACCACAGCACGGGCAAGCGGACGGCTCCAACGGAGCCAGTAACAGCCTTCATTACGGTAAGTGACCTCAGTTAGCGCGCAGCAAGATCCCTCACAGTTGTCTGAACCTTTGCAGGCAATCGCAATCTCTCTCCGCTGTTCCAGGCAGCACGGAATGACTCGCCCAGTCGTCCTTCCGGCTTGCGCCAACAGTTCGGATACGACAATACCCAATCTCCAACTGCGCACCGGCAGTACCAGCAATACGCTTCACCGCCACATCAACCGCAACATCACCACCACGGTCCACACCAGATCGATCCAAACTCCTTTTCCCAAGCATACGTGCTTGAACAACAAGCGGCAGCGGCGCAGCCGTTTTCGTCATCATCTCGAAGTCACCAGGAACAGTCGTTTCCGCCTACGCAGGCGCAGAGCTACGGGTTCGATCAACAACACGTTCCAGGCGTTCAAGGACTCGATCGGCCACCTTCCGGTTCGCCCGATGTCAAGAGCATGGAGGACAACCTGCGGCGCATGCTCAAGTTGAACTTGGCTTGATTTGACAAATCACAATCCTTCCTTCATTTTCCCGTGTCTACTGCTTGTTCTTTGCTGATTTGGTCCACCGTTCTCGTTGCGTGCTTCACCTCTTTTGCTGTGCTACTATCTTAAGGCTAGTGTTGTTGTGTCACCATGCGTTACGTGCTCATCGTTATCTGTCCTTTGTGTTATCCGGTCCTTTCTGTATCCATCACTATCCTCTTTTGCATATGCTAATCCTCTTGGCGTCTTGGTCGGTCTTTCTATTGGCACTTCGAACACTGTGCTGCTCTGCATGGATGCCTGCATACGCCTTCTCCTTTGTCAAACTTTTGCATATACCCATTTGCGCAGGCGTTGCTGGATGCGTGGATGAAGAGCCGTTCGCGCTGGACTTCGGTATCTACGGAGGAACCGGATCATGATGTTCTCAACGGCTTCTCTTTCTAAATGTTCATGACGGATGGGAAGAAGGCGGACATTCGGTTGGGAACGTCTGGCGCAGAGACGACAAGATGGGCCAGTAGGGAAGGGATAGGGACGCATCTAAAATAAAAACTCAGAAAATCATACTAGGGGAGTTGAACGTGACATGTTCATGCTCACTTTCTGCTTTTCCGCACACGAATCTTGCCTCTTCTCGATTTTTATTTTTTAACAGTAAACAGCGGTTTGAGATTTCAGCGGTCAGTCCTTTCACTTGCACTATGCTAACCACCTTCTGCAACAGAACAGACGACGCGGAGTGCTCCTCACAGAGGTGCAAAGCACACGAAAGTCCAGCTCCTAATCACCTTCTACTGTCGAGGATAGCACCAGTTCAGGTCCCCGAGGTTCAGATCATCGTCCTGGACGGTATGGATAGGTACGTGTTCTTGAAATGATTTACGATAAGGTACTAACGTTTCGCTAGGGGCTTCGATGAACGAGTCGAGTGTGCTCGTACCATCAACGGCATTCGTGTCGACGTCCTCTTTGTCTCACCCGTCTATCCTGACAAATCATCCGGCACTCAAACTCGATGATTGGCCAAACTATTGATATGAACAACATCCGCAAACGTCACGTGATTATTGCAAATCACAACCGGGCGAGGTGGCCGAGGTAAGCACAACTCACCATTCGTCCTCACAGTTCGTTCTTTAACATTCTTTCAGTGGTTATGGCGCTAGTTTCAGGTACGAACTACCTGCTCTGATCAGGGTACTTACTAGTTCTTCGGAGCGTGGGTTCGAGTCCCACCCTCGTCAACATGCTTTTATGCCCGCAAGGGTGTCCGTTCTCTTGTTGATGTGCCGCATGGCTGAAGACGGGCGGTTGGCGTTGCGCTCAAGAGTTCGGCTTTGGCAATTTTTGCAAGGTGGGTCTGGCAGCTCTCCGGTCCGAACGAAGCTGGAACGCCGAATCTGCGGCTTTGATCTCCCATGCCCGCAACAGCCCACCCAGCATGGGAAAAAGAAACGCCCAAGGACTCGTAGCCTGCGGTCCGTAAAGGCAACGGGCCAGTACTGATCAAAAAGCTTCCGTCACGGGGAATTGAACCCCGGCCTTACCGGCTTTCTGTTAGAGGACCCGTATCGGAACCTCAACATGAGAGCGGTAAATCCTAGCCACTAGACCATGACGGATATGTTGTTGAACAAGGCGTCGCGAGGTCCCTACTCGATGTAAGATAGTCCTGCCTGGATGATTTATATCCACCATCTCGGAACGGCGATGGTGGGTTGGGCCCCAGGCATTCCTTTAACAGGCGTTCGGTTGCCAGGTGTTCCAGACGGGCAAAGATGGCCTTCACTACTAAAATGTTGCCAACCTCAATCGTGAAGCTTGTGGTGTCTGAGTGCTGTCTTTGTCCTCATTGTTGTCATGGACTTTCACGCGCTCGTCCTTTTGGCACTTGAGGTTCTCAAAAGACACGATGGATCGCGAGCACTTCGTGCGAACACCTTGGGTGTGTCGGGGCTACGTGTATGAGCGTTGTGTATATATATATATATATATATATATATATATCCCTTGGCCGGGGTTCCGAGATGCGGAAGGTGGACCATGAGCCAGGAAGCCCTGATGTTGCGCATAACGGTCTTATGGGAGAGCTTATTCCGAAGGAACATTTGATGACAACAGGGAGCTGTATGAGCAGGAAGTCGCAAGAAGACGCTTGATAGAGCGGTCTGCCAAACAGGCTGTGAAGTGAGACGGGATGCCTTCCAGATGATCCTCCGGCGGAAGTGGTGTAAGCTGATGGCCGGCATCCGCTCGCTTGCATGCGTGAACACGATGCTGGCTTCCTTCGATCCTTGGATCCTTCGAAGCCCAGGAGAGGAATGCTGTACCCAGCAGTTTTTGTTGGTCGCAACCATGCGTATTTATGGACAATGGAGATGTCGTATTTGAAGCAAGAGTGTAGGTTGACTAGAGCCGCGGCTCCCTTGAGTGATCGACGTGAGCCGAACCCTTTCAAGCCAGGATGCATCAGCCCACTTACTGTTCCTGGAAGTCGATCCATGTGTCCCCTATCCGAACCACAACTATAGATGGTCCTGACATGACGTGACGCCGAAACGCCGCATGTCCGAAACCTGTTCCTGGTTGTGGTCTCTTATATCCCTTCTACTTCTTCTCCACTCTGACCGCTGGACGGTCAGCTTCGAGAACATCTCACCATGGCCCAGCAGGCTCCTGTCGCGCCAGCCCGGCGCAAGCAGGTGCTGAAGGTCCTATTCATATCCCTTCTACTTGACCTGGTATGTGTGTCCTCCCGGTACCAGCTCCAGCGCGACTAACAAAGCATTTCCAAGATCTCGTTCACCTTCATCCTCCCCTGTTCCCACAGCTCCTCGAGTTCTACCGCGCCCAAGACAGCACCGCATCCTCGCTCTCATCGAACCCTTCGCTCCTCACACGCGTCCTCAATCTCCTCAATGCCTACAAGAACAGCTTTGCGCGCCCGATCAATGACCGCTACGACATCGTTCTCCTAGGCGGCGCGCTCGGGTCGCTCTTCTCCCTCTGCCAGTCCATCGCTTCGCCCGTCATCGGCACGCTCTCGGACCGCTACGGACGTCGGACAGCTCTGCTATGGTCTATGTGCGGCAACATTCTCAGCGTTGCGCTGTGGGTTGCAGCGTCTGATTTCCGGACCTTCTTGGCCAGCCGCATTGTTGGTGAGTGAATCTGCGGCAGTATTGTTGGAGGTGATACTTATACCCCGTATAGGAGGGTTAAGCGAGGGAAATGTACAACTTGCACTGGCGATTGCGACGGACATCAGCGATGACAAGCAACGAGGTGCGACAATGGCTCTCGTAGGTGCGGCATTCAGTGTCGCATTCACATTCGGTCCGGCGCTGGGGGCTGCATTGGCCAACGTCACATCCGTTCAGGCCAACCCGTTCGCTACTGCGGCTGGGTTTTCGCTGTTCCTGATCGTCGTCGAGACGATTTACCTCTACTACGCGCTGCCGGAGACGCTGCCGCAGGCACAGCAAGAGAACGGGTCTGCAAGCGAGAAGGCTGTGGGCGACAACAAGGTCAAGCACCAGCGGACGAACTCGCATCTCTTGCTCAACTTCACACATTTCATCTTTGTCTTCTTCTTTTCGGGCATGGAATTCTCCCTCTCTTTTATGACCTACGATCTCTTCGCCTACTCATCCCCTCAGAATGGAAAACTGCTCGGTTTCATCGGACTCGTGGCCTCGATCCTGCAAGGCGGCGTGACGCGGCGACTGAAGCCTTTGCGCGTCGTCCAGCTCGGCGTCCTCGCCTGCGCAGCCGCCTTCTTCCTCCTGGCCAGACTGGAGACAGAGAGGCAGCTGTATGGCGCCGCGGCGCTGCTGGCTGTGACAAGCGCGACGGTTGTCACGGGACTGAACAGCTTGAGTTCGTTTGAAGCGGCGGCGGGCGAAAGAGGCGAGAAGTTGGGTAATCACCGCTCTTGGGGTCAGGCGGGGAGGAGTTTGGGACCTCTCATCTTTTGTTCTCTGTATTGGTGGGCCGGGCGCGATGTGGCATATGCGATCGGTGGAGCGGGTATGGTGGGCGTTTGTGGATTGGTTTTTGGTGGGCTCAAGATGCCGAAATCTGTGTAGGATGATGCATAGAAATATCCTGCATGATGTTTTCCTGGAAAGAAGGGATCTTGGAAATGTGAAGAAGGTGAACACCATCGTACGTTATGAGAATATCAGAGGTCATGGCGCATTCGTGGCTATTTAATTAAACTGTCAACTGCTCTTGCGAGCCAACAGCATCATAGAACAACAACAGAAAAACGAATGCTCGAATGGGATCTGCTATACGTTCAGGAGGAACATGGAACAGACGCTTATTGTCAGTCCCTGCGACCTTTGTTTCTGCCTGTTCTCGATAGACTTCATTCTTGAAAACACTTAGGACTATCGAGCCATGATCCTTTGTGAGATCATCCGGACTCCGGGACCACCGAACATTCCCAGTTTCCGCTTCAGCCTAGGCAGGCCAGATGGGGTTAGAGGTCGTCAGCATGGCGTTCACCGGTATCCTATCTCAACTCTCACTTATATGAGTCTTCGACGGAGAGGCGCCATCGATCGTAAATCTTTGTTAGCAAGGCGGCCAGCGCCGAAATGCAAGCAGTCGACAAACGGGTTCCTGCACGCTTCTACTCACAGCAAGACTCTTTGTCATGCTAACCACTTCACCGCCCTCGTTGCCTGGGCCGTGTGGTCATACAATGCGCTGAGTGTTACGCGGGGTGTTACGGAAGCAACAAAGTGACAGTTCCCTTAGACAATATACAGCCATACAACGGAACGATATGCCAAGATACATCTGCTCTTGGCCTTGACATCTAGTCGACATACCACATGTTGCTTGTGACGAAGAGAGTGCCGATAGGTTTCCTGGAAGCTCAACGGAATCGAAAGTCGATACTTTGGGATGCAGTCTTGAACACCACCTGACGACGAGGATAGCCGACTGACAAGTCGACAAGGGCACTCGACCTTTGATATCCTGTCACTCTGGCACTCTGGCAAAGCCACTGCATCTCTTCTTTTGCGGATTCCCGATCCGCGGCAATCCCCAACCTCTCTTGACAGTATTTAGCTTAGAACAATAGATAGGCGCGGTAGCGAGGCTTCTAGCACAGCTGCCTTCCTGGAAGGGATAGGTAGCGGACGATAGTGCGACGGTGGGTCAACACAGAGGTGTTCTGTCGCCCGTCCCTACGTAGCTGAACGAAGGGTCGGACAGTGATGGTCTGGCACAGCGAAAGCCGCATGATAGCGGTCTTCTGCCAGGAAGATCCGCGAGGGACGCTGAGCATGTCAGGACAGAACTTGCCCCTTTGCGAGTCGCACAGTCTCATCCGTAACAAAGGACAAGATATGGGGGTGATCCGACGTTTGTCTGAAGTCCCGATGCGGTCTTGCGTACTGCGGCTGCTGAAGTCCAGTCACCGATTAAGGGAATTCCAGTTCAGTCTCCTCGTGGCCACTTGAACAGCTACCGGTAGAACCCACGACCAAGCGAACCGCCCACTCCGCACAGGTATCGACCGTCTGAGTGATGACATGGAGATTGTCAGATGCTGTCCGTATCGCTTCCTGCCGACAACTCGTCAAGCGAAGCTGCTTTTGCATGGTCATGTGCAGAAGATCACGGTTCCGGAGTGACTCACCGAGCAGCAAATGGTTGGACACATGTTGAAGAATGCTCTCGAATAGCGGTAGGTATGCGATCCGGGTGTGGGACGGCATTGCCACTATTGACTCGTCGTGTCTGCATGCTGCACGATGCATGACCAATGCTGTTTCAGATTAGTGCGTGGGGTGTACATACGGGGAGCAGGACACCCGACCAAAGGATAAAGATTGCCCTGGGGTATCGTGAAGACCAGAGTTCGACCGAACATCTGCAGGGTCGTTCCAGTTTTCCCACCGTACGCGAACTGCGTGCCCTGCATCCAGGAACAAACCAAACAAGTGAATGGGTGTGTTGTTGTCGTGAGATAAGAACGGGGTCGAAAACGACAGTCAGGTGTCCGGCTCCAAAAACACACGAGGACAGATGAGGCTTCTTCCTGAAGAGGTGCGCATTACATCCACGTTGACCGTTCCAATGGTCTCCTGAGTTGCTCCAGGGTCATGTCAAGAGTGTTGCTGTTGTTGTCATGAAGCCAGATCATCTCCAGAATAAACGCCTAACGAAACACATGATTGGCCGCGCGAGTCGCTGAACACCAGCAACCTGTTTCCAACCTTGATCGCGGTCCACGATACACTGAACCTTGATTCGAGCATACTCGTCAGCCACAGCGTGGCCATCCAACGAGGTTGGCGCGGGAGCTTTCGATCCTGGCTTCGAACGAACCTGTCGCAGCCTGCTCCGATTGTGGGAACACGTTTGACGGGGAGCAGGACAGGCTGTCCGTATATGTGTCATGCAAGAAGCCGAAGCAGAGGAACCGGGCGGGTAAAACCCTGCAATGCATCTGACAGGTCGTCCAAGGTTCTTTCCGAGCTTATCTACACCACGGGCGGTCAGTCAGGCACCTGAGAGAAGGTGTGTCGTTGTAGAAAGCATGAAGTTCGAGCGGGTGAGATTGACGCAACAGGACAGGAGCGGCGATGGCGCCCGGTTC